CTTTTAATCTCCTGAATATTTTATGGTAGCATCATACACGAGCCTCGTAGTTCTGATCCACGCTCATCTCACATTACTTTCACCTTAAGCTCATCCACGTTGATATACGTCATCAAAATTTAAAGTATTATAGGTGTTGAAATATTCCTTTTTTTTCTTTTGGTAGCAAAAGGAATTATCAAGGGATGAAAAAATAAAAAATCTAAATACCAAGGGATGTTATCATAGTTTCCCTTAACTAATGACAACAATGATGGCTTTTTCCTCATTTCTACTCTCGTTTTTCCCTTTTCGCTATTTGCAACTGCTTTGAAGGTGTGGTCCTGCTGGTAGGTAGCCACGTGAAAATTAAGTCAATATACAGGTAAGTAATTCCTCTTTCCTATCTTACTTTCTTTTCCCCAGATAAAGCTTGGTCAACAAGGAATAGACTAGTATGAGTACCATTTACTAGGAGTCTATTATGAGTTTTCTTTTTTTTTTAAGTTTTTATCGATTATTCCTTCAAACTCGAATATAAATCGTTATAACCGAACAGATTTATAACATGTTTTTTAAAGAACAAAGATGACTAGCCCTTAAGAGAAATAATAATTATTTAATCTAAGACTTCTAGATTATTATAGGACAAACTCAACCACCGAACCACTTTTAAATTACTGTCTTTTTGTACATCAATTCTACTTATGTTTTTGCAGGAGAGTTGTCAATTTTACGAGCCAACAATAATTACATCCCATGAACTCAAGGATGATGTGACTCATTAAAAAAAAAAGTTAAATGGGTCGGATGATGTTAGACATATATAACTCATTTAGCTGAAAATAAAGAAAATGCATATATTTTTTGTAGTGTACATATATTGCAACATTAAATAAATTATTTTAAGATAAATAATATTGACACCAACGTAGCAAAACAAAATGACATGACTCAGCTCCATTCATATCTTAGTAGCAAGACATTGTTAAAAAACTAACTACTCTAAAAATTTAAGTTACTAGGAGAAAATATAATTTAAATATGTATACTTCAATATGTTTCTCCATGTGTATGTTAGATTTTGGGTCTAACACGTAATTTATTTATTTTTTTAATAATTTGGGTGATAAAAAAATTCGAACACATAATTTTCTGTTTTGATATTATCTTAAACAACCATCTATTCTAAAAGTTTAAGTTATTAAAGAGCGTATTTAACAAACAAACCCTCTTTTTGTTGTAAGAATTGTGAAGGTGAATTTAGCATTTAGGGTTCGAATCTTAGCAATTTCTTAGAATCACACCATGATAAATTTATTCTTTATGAATATTTTAATTTTGGTATAGATGACATGTCTTTGACCTGACTAAAAAAAAATTAATCTAAGTGTGCATAAATTAACTCAAATATCCCTAATTATTAAAAAATAAATAAAAATTTAGCATTTATTTCTAAATTAGCAGCCCAAAACCCTTTATAAATGCACCAAAAATGGGTGCCTAAAAATATAAATATGTTTGCCTGTATGCCCACCGGACTTATCTAAAATGCGGGCCAATGTGATGTTCTCGACCTTTAAATTCAGCATAAACAATTATATTTCACAAATTTGTTGGTACTATACAAATATTTATCACATTTGTGGTAGTTTTTATCATATTTGTTGATAGTTTTATTATTGTTATGATACCTCAAAATTGGAAAAAATATTTATTACAATTGTGATAAAAACATCCACAAATATTATAAAAACACCTACAAATGTTATAAATCATCTGCAAAAGTGATAATTTTTTTTGTCTTTAAAAAATATGGTAAAAATAATTATCACAAATATAATAAAAATACTCATAACAACGATAAAAGTACCCATAAAATAGACCCGATATCAGAGCTATACCTATCTTAAATATAGCTATCCTCCCAAAGCTAGTAACATGTTACCGCCTCAACTAAAGTTTTGTGCCTAAATTTTAAGTTATTTCCATCAAAGGACACACCTCTACATAGCTCTCATAACTACTTAACCTCTCTTAGAGTTTACCTTTGCCTCTCTCTCTCTCTCTCTCTCTCTCCTTATATTATTAGCTCCAGCTATCGTAGTCGCTGTCGGAATGCAGTAAGTCAACTTAACTGAATTATTATACATCTGTGTGTTGACTGTGTTGACGTAATCTTTGTCTTCTGTCATTAATTATTTTATTGATTGTTTCATTAAGTATTCCATATTATACAATCGATTTTTTATTGTATATAAGTCTATTTTGTGCACCACCAAACAATACGAAATTAATGTGATGCAATTTATGAATACTTACTCCTAGGACCACCATATTCTTAAGGGGGGTCACAGTACCTTCTATCAATGAGAAAAAAAAAATGTGATAACTCTAATATGGTATATTTAATTAATTGTGTTAGATGGTTCAACACTATTCGAACTTTTTTATTACTATAATAATGTCACATTATTTAGTCTGTATTTGATTTTGCTTGTGAAAAATTGTGTTTTTTTTTTTTTGGGTAAATGATTTTGGGTGTTATAGTCATAAGAAATGAATCAAATCTTTTGAGATACATGTGCCAGAGTTTTGCAATTAAGAATAAAAAAGCATCTTGTGATTCAAGATTACTTATAAAAAATATATGAAAATCAAAGGACAAGAGGACAGAACCTCTTGAAATGAACCATGTGCTCGTAGCTGACATCGTAGGAATCTGTTTTGTTTAATTTGAGCACCAAGAAGATCATTCCAGATTCTTTTGCTTTTTTAAAAAAAAAAAAAACTAGATTTCCAGATTCAATGTACCCAAAAAAAATTTGGTGAGAAAAGCATATGGAGCTTGGGATGGCAGGGACTGTGTGTGTGTGTGCGTTTTTTTTTTTGGATTAAATACTCTACCTAGATGTTAGTGGCATAATCATTTTAAACTTTTAATACTTTCACGCTTTGCATGCAAATTTGCGTTCTAGGAGTGAATTCTCCGTGAATTTGCACTCTCATTTTATAAATTCGCGAATTTAATTAATCAAATTTTTATTTGGGAAGTACTGATCTAGATCTACACATACATATCAAATTAAAATAATATTTGTAAATTATAATTGTCATTTTTAAGACTTTATAATCAATATATATTTAAAAATTAAATAGTTTGTCTTATAGTTGTGCAAAAATTTATAATTTTTTGTATTCTAATTTACATTAAATTTTTATGGGTAAATGTGTGTTTGTATGAATATAATATGGCGATCTCAAAACGTTCATGCTTTCAATTTTTTTTAAATAGCGACACTTTTGCACTTTCATTCTCGTTCCTATTTCCACTGCCACTTCTGTTGTATGTGATCTAGAGTAAGACTTGTTAATCGAACTGAAATATTTAAGTTTAATTTTGTTGCAATGCCCAAAATGCGATAGACTCAAGTTCAATTCATTTATAATGTAAGATATAATTTTTTTGTATGGTGAAAAAACATGAAAGATAATTGGGCCCTTGTTTTAATCCTATGACGTCTGAGCTCGAATATACTTAAGTTTGGACTGAGTCTATGATCATAGTACAAAAATAAGTTGAGTGGACTTTTTGGTACACACAATTACGCATTGTTTGTTGAGGTTGGAATTTTTAGTTTCTTCAGAGCTTTGCACACATTATATTTGATTTGATGATTCCTCGACAGAGAGAAGTGAAAAAATGGGAAGTCAATCTATTTAAACCCGGGTGATTAGCCTTTTCTAGAGTACTTTGGTGATTAGTTAATGGAGAAAGTTTGTTTGGACTTTTAAAGGGTTCAGAAGTGCTAGTGCGAGACAATCTACTTAGACTCGTTTTTATAGTTAACAAAACTTAGTTCTGCAATAGTCAAATCAAAATAAATTTGGAACATATTAAAACTTGAAAAAGTTATCTTGATTATGACTAGCCCTAATAATCGAGTCGAGTCAAGCCTGTTAACGAGTCCAAAATATTTTTCAAGTTTAACTTGTTTAGAAAATGAGTCGAACTCAAAACGAGTAGAATTCGAATTGAGCTCGAATAACTCAATTATTTTACATAGAAATGAATCCAAAACAAATAAAATCCGAACTGAATCAAATAACTTAACTCGATTATTAGTCCTAATTACGACCCTAATCAATTGTTGCCACACTTGGATCAAAGGCACACTTAAATGACTTGGAATTGGACCACATTGGGAGAGTTGGGCCAGGCGAATATATACCTGCCGTTTTGAATTGGTTATTTTATTGACTGGTTTGGGCTGAGGTGTTTCGTACGGATGAAGGTGTTGGTGATGGGCTTTGAAGTTTTGATTAATGTAATTGATGTTATTGTCATATGAACATATGTAATTTTTAATTTTAATTTATTAATATAATATTGTATGAAATTTGATAAAATTACAATTTTTTTATTTATTTATGTTAGGATGTAAATATTAAAAAAAAATTATCTTAGTGTTGGATTATATACACAATTATTTCAATCAATTCAAACATGATATATTTTAAATATAATATAACACAACTCGATTATTATCCTAAAATTAGTTAGATTGATAGAGTTATGTTCGCTTGGGCTGGGTAGCGGAGTTTTGATGGTTTTTTTTTTTTTTTTTTAATTTTTGGCTAATTTTTATCAATTTTTTTGGGTTAAAAGTCAGAAGAGCAACTGGATAATATTCCTAAACACAGACCCAAACAGATTTTGTGAGTATATTGTATCAAAAAATATGTGATAATTATTAAAAGTGTCGTAAATTTTATAATTGATTATAAAATATTATAATTAATCATAAAAATTATAATTTTTAAAAAATAAAAAATAAAATTATTATTTTTTAAGATAAATTAATTAGTTCATAAACATGGAAAAATTATTCAAAGTGTATTTAAATTAACTCAAACACCTCCGCCTTCTAAAAATAAAAAATAAAAATAAAAATAAGAAAGAGAAGAGTATCTGAGTTTTGACTTGTAATTGCGGGAAAGTCGTCCCCTTGGCTTTCACTCGCAACACGAGACAGAAATAGGTCCGAAGCACTCTACAGACAGATTGAAGTCCACTTCTCAGCCGAACCAAGTTAACTCGCTGCCGCGTCCACCGCCACCAATGGTCGGACAAACTCAAGCCCAGACAACGGAAACTCAGCCTCAGCCCACCACCGACCCAGCCAATGCTCCTCCTGAAAACCCTTCCCCAACTACCAAAATCCCTTTCCGCCCACGGAAAATCCGAAAACTTTCCCCCAAAACTTCCTCCGACTCCAAATCCTCTCAATCCACCGCCACTGAAAACCCTAAAACCACCACCGAAAGCCCTAAAACCGCCGCCACTGCCACGGAAAGCCCTAAAATTACCACCACCTCCAAACCATCAAAATCCAAATTGACCCCATCATCACAACCCAAACCAATAGTCCCAACACTCATGGCTCGATCTCTCTCTTGCGAAGGCGAAATTGAAATCGCCCTCCGCCACCTCCGAACCGCTGACCCAATTCTCTCATCATTAATCGATCACCACCAGCCCCCAATCTTCGATTCCTTTCATTCTCCATTTTTAGCCCTAAGTAGAAGCATTCTCTACCAACAACTCGCTTACAAAGCAGGCACTTCAATCTACACCCGCTTTGTATCCCTATGCGGCGGTGAATCCGGTGTCCTCCCCGAAACAATTCTTTCTCTAACCCCTCACCAGCTCCGCCAAGTCGGCATTTCGAATCGAAAAGCAAGTTATCTCCATGACCTTGCAAGAAAATACCAAAATGGAATTTTATCGGATTCCTCAATTCTTGAATTGGATGATAAGTCTTTGTTTACAATGCTTACTATGGTTAATGGTATTGGGTCTTGGTCAGTTCATATGTTTATGATTTTTTCTCTGCATAGACCGGATGTGCTTCCTGTAAATGATCTTGGGGTGAGAAAAGGGGTACAGATGCTTTATGGGCTTGAGGAGTTACCGAAACCATCGCAGATGGAGCAATTGTGTGAGAAATGGAGGCCGTATAGGTCTGTCGCGGCGTGGTACATGTGGAGGTTTGTGGAAGCAAAGGGGTCGAATTCGAGTGCAGCTGTAGTGACTGGAGAGAATTTGCAGCAGCAACAACAGCAGCAGTTTTTGGATCCTATTAATGGCATTCTTAATTTCGGGTATCTTTATTTGTTCATTCGATTAATTGTCACCTTACAATATTGCCTTTAAGTAATCTAATCCTTTTTCCAATTGTTTTGCTCTTGATATGCCTGTGGTATTGTGTTTTGTTCAATTGCATACTATGTTTACATTGAAAGCTATGTTACTTTAAGGTTATTTTTTTTACTTGGGGTTGGGGGTTGGGAGAGTTAAGCTTAGTTTGAAAGTAATCACTTTAATGTACAGCTCAAATACAATCTACCCTTAAAAAGTCTCAGTATAATTGCATATTTGCATATCTGGAAGATAGACTCAACTACAGCAGCATGCTAACCCTTTTGTTTTCCCAGAGCAAATGAACTGTTCTAATGGTAATGTAGCTAAAGACCTCTTGGCCAACAATAAAAGTGACAGTTCAGGTTGTGATTCCAATACATTGATAAGTTTGGTGGGTCCAAGGCTGTGAATTTGGTTCTCAGGTAATGGACACATTTGATCTTGCTATATGGATATGTTAGCTAACTTTAGTTTCATAATAGTTAAAGCCTTTCACTTATTTGGATGTCTGTATTTTAAGGCATGGAATACTCCGTCAATATATTTGATGAAGCAAAACTCACATTGATGAGAGACAGGAATAATGTTGAAGGGATTTGCCTCCTGCTTCATGTTAGATGTTATTGTGAGCATTCGCATAAAACTCCTAGATGGGTCAAGTTTATTGAACAGACCTATCTGGAATTTGTTTCTGTTTACTGGCTGGTTCTTGCAGTACATAATATCTCTTCACAATGTTACAGTTGCTATCCTTGAAATATACCTTATGAGTTATTTTGAGTGGTGTCATGTGTTGTACTCCCCTTGTTTTTCTAGACGCCTTTTAACGAATACCCTTTTTCATTAGAAAACAACCTAGATTCATTTTCCTAGTTTTGATGGAAATGTTTTGTATATGATATTTATACGATTGAGGCTTACATTCGATAACATTGTGAATTGACTTGCCAATTGTTAGTAGCGTTGTTCTATTATCTTTCTATGTGCCCTTGATTCTTCGTCCCATTTTATCACATGACATATTAGGCACTGTAGCATGTTCATCTTCTTTTGGGATCACTCTGCTTGTTTCTATAATGCTTATCAGCTTATGTTCCTCTGTTGTCTATTCACTGTCATGTAAATTAGGGCTTGTGCTTGGGGACAGTGAACCTTATCTCAATTGGGAAGTGTTGTCAATGATCAGCCATGTTTATACGTCAATCAGTTTGAGGATGAGGGCTGCATAACAGGGCAAGGAAAGTTACGGGGCTCGTAACTCCGGGAGTGTCGGGACTTGTGAGAGAGGAGCATCTTACCTATTTTAGGATTAACAATAAAGGCTATGTGCTCTAATTTTCTTATTTGAGAAATGGCAGTTCCAATTTGGTTTGTCTTGTATATGACACTTACGAAACCCATCTAATTCTCGTCTGATGTTTTGTCTCACGTTATAAAACTTCAAATTTCCGCAGGCATGTATCCAAATCTCTCTCTCTCACTCATTTTGGAAAAATGGGAGGATAGAAAGTTCGAAGGATGTTACTATATATATATATATATATATATATATGAGAAATTTTTACTGTTAATCGAACTTCTAAAATTTAAGAATTTTTAATTTTGCTTCACTCTAAAGGGAAGGGATAGTCTGATAAAATTAATAAAAAACAGATTTCATAATAAATAAGTTTATTTGACGGACTTAAGTCTAAATATGTCTATATAGGAGGATCAATTTTTAAATTTTCCTAAATATTAATTGTAATTAGGCATGTTAATCGTCGTAGGTGAAACATGTTTGTATCGGGTCTTGGTGGATTCGTATCAAAAAATACTTCACTTATATCTGATTCATTTGTTAATTCATATTTAACGAGTCTGTCATGTCAGGTTCGTGTCGTGTATCAATCGTGTATAATCGGTATATAAATGAATCGTGTCGTATATTTTTTTTGATTGACTTCACTTATACTCAATTCATTTATTAATCATGTCGTGTCTGATCCACTGATTTACGAAAAGGGTGAGTTAAAAAAGATTCAAACTCTCTAATTTCATGTCGTGGTTTATTTTGACATCTCTAATTGTAAATAAGAAGCAATTATCGAGGACCTTAGAACAATCGAAAGGAATTTTTCCCATTTTGACGGAGAAGAGAGAGGCGAGTAGCAAATATTGAATAAAAACTCTTTTAAAAATGAAAATTCTATTTTGTGTAGAAGGCATGATAACATTATTCTATTGTCAGAGAAAATATTTGGTGCTCACTAGACACCACATTACAGAGTCACGTTGTGTATATTACCTAAAAAAAATTGTACATGCCCAATCAATTTCTACCACTTGTGTAGGAATGAGAAATTTTTATTTTTTTTTTTTTGAAAAAATTAGCTTGTAGATATGAGAAACAAGTGTTACGAAAAATTTTCATTGATAGTAACTATTGAGCATCGCATAGCAGTGTCACCTTAGTGCCTTAAAAGCACACAACATTTTCTCCAATTGTCATGTATGCATTACGAGTAAGGGTGTCAAAAGACACCATACGAACATGATATAAAATTAAAAAGTTCTAATTTTTTTTAAATTATTCGTTTCATAAATAAATAGACCTAACGCGACACAGTTAATAAATTGATCAAATTTGTGTAAAATCAATTAAAAGAAATATACGATATGAACCAATTACAACATAATTTGATAGACATAAATTAATAAACAAATTAAATATTACTTTTGAATACGAACCCGCCTCACCCGGGTACCCCGGTATCAATTATGGACCATTAGTCACTAAAAAGGCTTTTACGTGTATAAAGCAATAAGACACTTCTCTATCGTATCAGAAATTGATGAATTAGATAAAATAATTTAGTTTAATATAATACAGAAGAATAAAAGACAAGATTAAATAGAATATTAAAAAAATATATAATTTTATTTAGTATTTAACAATACGTAACATAAATGTTAGATAATAGTTATTTAATATAATCAATTGTTTGGTTAGAAAATTATTTCATAATATTAATGTTGAATTAACAAAAATATATTTAATCAGTATTTATTACATTGATGACAACTTAATTTTATTAGTTGGAGGTTATAACAGTAAATATGTAGAATAATACGTTTGAGTTGGATTATAATATCACATCTTTTGGTGGTATTAAAATACTTCCACAATACTAATCAAGGGGTTAATTGTAAATTACACCTGAAAGATCGTTTGAATTTTAATTTGCACCATCAAAAATAAAATTTTTTATCAATACACCAAAAACTAATAACTGTCAGTTTGCAAGCTAAAATTAAATGGATAAATTATAATTAAATCTTTTTATACTTGTTACTTAATCATTTGAACCCCTCACATTTAGAATATTATTCTTACACTTCTTAACGTTTGTGTACGTGTAACATATAATCCTTTGTCGTTGATATCTGTTAATATAAATATTAAAAAAATATGATTTAATCATAATAAAAAACTATAATTTCATACTACCATTTATTTTATGAGTTTGTTATACCTTAAAATTTAAAATTAAACTTATCATTTGAATGTCCAATATAATACAAGTATTTATATTATGTTCTTTATATCCAACATAATTATTTGAATGTCCAATTAGGAGAATATTTGTAGTCATATTTGGATTCTCAAGGGACGTAAGTGTAATATTTTAAATGTGAGGGGTTTAAGTGATTAAGTGATAAACATAAGGGTTCTAATTAGGGGTGCAACTCAGGCGGGTTGGACAATCAACTCTAGTCCAATCCTAAGTATATAATTTTCAACTCTAACCTTAACCCTACCTCGGGTTGGGAAATTCAACCCGAGTATTGCCCCGAGTTTAATTGGGGCGGGCTCGGGTTGAATTCAGGTCGATGATTTCGAGCTGATTTTGGGTTACTTTACAGGTTCAATTCGGATAGAGCCCAAAATAGGTTTGTTGTTATAAACCTAATACATATATTACATAATATTCACCTAAATTAATAACCAAAAATTTCAACCAAGTTTTTAACGAAAGAGGCTGAGAGAACGAGAGAGACATAGAATGAGAGAACAAAATTAAAAAATCAGTGCTAATGTTTTATAATATATATATAATTTTTTTTTAATTTGTCAGGTTCGGGTTGAAATCAGGTTCACGAGGTCTTAACCCGAGCCCAACCCAAATTGAATTTGGATTAGAATTTTTTGACCCAAACCCAACCCAAGTACTAAAAACCATTGCCCACGCCCTAATTTTTTAGGATTAGATTCGGGTTGAAATCGGATTGTCCGACCCAAGTTACACCCCTAATTCTAATCTTCTAGATGTAATTTATTCATTTAGTTTTAAATGATAAATCGATGGTTGTTAACTTGAGGTGCGCATTAATTAGGGGTGTTAGTCGAATGAGCTCAAATCAAGTTCAAGCCAAACTGAAAAAGTTTGTTTCTTAATCAAGTTTTAAAAATTGTTCAAATTCGGTTCATTTAGAAAATGAGTCGAGCCCGAGTATTTGCACAGTCAAGTTTGAGCTGAACTTGTAGGGCTTGTTTTCTAAATGAGTTTAAAAACTTGTTCAAGTTCGGACTCTTTTAGAAAACGAACCGAGCCAAACCTGAGCCAAACTCAAGTCAAGTTCGAGTAACTCAGTTTGATTAACAGTCCTAACATTTATATAAATTTCTATCTTTGAGGATACAAATTGAGATTTTTTATCTTTAAGAGTACAAATTAAAATTCGAATGATCTTTCAGGGTGTAATTTGAGATTAATCCACTGGTCTATCGTACAAAAATTATATAATAAGTATATATTTTTAAAATTAATACGATATTAAATTTATATTAATAAATAAAATATTAAGTTTGATTAAATAAAAAATAATATAACATATAATATTTAATCCCTCGTAATACGCGAACCAAACCAACCCTTCGTGCACTCTGGACAATAATAAGGGCAGTCGAATTGGGCCCAATATGGCACGCGCTTTGACTTTTGGCCTTTTCTGTGCTAAGTTTGCATTTATCTGGCTAGGTGAACCAGTAAATTCTCACTGTAATCTGACGTGGCAATTAATTAATAACCAAAATATTACTCTTTTTACGTCATTTTACACAATTTTTTTTTGTTTCATAATATCTGTTGTTTAATGAAACCAAAGTATAATTAATATTTTTTCTTCCAAATTTACCCTTAACTTTTCAATGCATTAGATTAGGTGGAGGTTAAATATCTTTTATATTCCTTTCCTTCCCAATACGTATTGAATAAGAGTATTTTAATATTGTGTAATTATTTTTTACTCATAATACAACTATTTAATACATTCCTTAATCCTTGTGCAAAAATTTTAAACGACAGATATTTAGGAACATAAAAAATGTTATACTCCCTCCGTTCCTAAATATCTGTCGTTTTACATAATTTTTTTTGTTCCATAATATCTGTCGATGAAACCAAAGTATAATTAATATTTTTTCTTCTAAATTTACCCTTAACTTTTCAATACATTAGATTAGGTGAAGGCTAAGTGTCTTTAATATTTTTTTCCTTCTCAATACATATTAAATAAGAATATTTTAGTCTTGTGTAATTATTTTTTGCTTATATTACAGCTATTTAATAGTTTCCTTAATCTCTGTGCAAAAATCTTAAACGACGGATATTTAAGAACGGAGGGAGTAATACCATAATGTTTGGTCCTAATTCATAGTTTAGATAGCATTTCCTATTATGTCATAACATGAGTTTATTACCTTTTGGGTTAATCTCATTTTGTACCTTAAAAGATTGTTCAAATCTCAATTTGTACCTTTAAAGATAAAAAATCTCAATTTACATCCTCAAAGATAAAAATTTGTATCAATGTGAATCCCCAAAAATAAAAAATCTCAATTTGCACCCTCAAATATAGAAATTTATATCAATATGCACCTAAAATTAAATTGATAAATTATACCTAGATCCCCTCATGTTTGTCATTTAATCATTTGAACTCCTTCACATTTAGAATATTCCCCTTACATCTCATGACGTTTATGCATGTGTAACACATAACCACTTTTCATTGATATCTGTTAATATAATCATTAAAAAAAATGATTTTATTCTAATAAAAAATTATAATTTCATACTACATTTTATTTTGTGGATTCGATATATTCTAAAGTTGCAAATCAAGCTTACCATTTGAATGTTTAATAAAATGTAGATATTTATATAAAAGGTAATATGAAAAATATTATATAAATATTTACATTTTATTAGACATTCAAATGGTAAACTAGATTTTAAACTTTAAAATATATTGAACCCATAAAATAAATGGTAATATGAAATTATAATTTTTTATTACGATAAAATTATATTTTTTAACGGTTATATTAATAGATATCAATGAAAATGAGTTACGTGTTATACGTGCACAAATGTCATAAGATGTAGGAGTAATATTCTAAATGTGAAGAGGTCTAAATGATTAAGTGACAAGTATGAGGAGATCTAAGTATAATTTATCAATTTAATTTTA